CGGGGGGTCTGTGCCCTGTGCCGGGGCTGAGGGGCAGCGATGGCGGTGGAGGCTGCCGAGGCCCTGTGCCTGGGTGCACGGAGCCGTGCTCACCGCTGTCTTTGCCGTTAACGGGGAAGAGAAATACGATGTGACACGTTTTCCGTTTAGGCCTTGATTCGCAGCGTAACTGCAATAATTACGAAAACGGCCCCCTCTTTATTAACTTCTCCATTCTTTATGTTATCTTCCTTCTCGCCACCCCGCCTCTCCCAGCTGGGGAGGCTGTAGGTGTTTAGCATGCCTTTGACAGGTAGCTGCCTTTCTGCATCAGCAAATGAAACCTTTCAGGTGAAATATTGCTGGGTTTTACAAGAGCTGTCTGCGCAGTGCTAGATTTCCAAATTGCAAGTTAGATGGAATCATCATGGATTTGTTCTGATTTTAAACTTTTACCTCAGCAACTCCCTCTTCACCGAATTCTTGTTTTGTACTGAGAAATGCTTTGGACAATAGGTGGTGTGAAATGCCCTTGGGGATAGAAGCTGGATGGTTGTTATGTTGTGTCATCCCCCCAGATTTCTTGCCTGTTACTGGCTATAAAAATGTCAATAAGCAAAGGCTGCCCCAGATAAAACACTCAGGATCAAGACTGCAGGTTTTCAGAGTATGGGTCTAATCTCCCACCACAGAATAGGACCTGTTTTCGTCAAAGTCTGAGTTGCACTTCTGTAATTTAATAACCAGGCTCCAAGCTTGCTTGCTTAAGCTGTGTCTCGGCTAAGCAATTCTAGTCCTCCAATCTGCAAAATGGATCCCTTAATAGAAAAAATCCCTAGTTTTTGCAAGAGCTGTCCAAATGCAATCCATAAGTCTCAGCATCTTGTCTAAGCTAATGCAAAGCAGCAGCGTTGGACCATATGATGACTGAAATGCTAGTATAAGTGAGTCTCCCAGCATGCGTACGCTCTCCCACCATTCCTGTGAGCGACAGAACCGCAGTGTTGGTAGCAGCCTTCGGAAATCATAGAAGATCATCCTGGTATGGATCTTGCTGTGGAAGTTTGCAGATGCGGTTACTGCCCGGTGCATCTTCTCGCCTTGTGTGAACCCTGTTGCGTAACAGTTGTAACTTCCCTTGCTCAGGCTGTTGAGGGAGCGATTAAGAAGCATGACACCTGACTGTAGATCATGTTCTTAGAGAAAAAGATGCTTTGTTTTCAAATCAGATAAGTCAGTCTCTTTTAAGATGTTTTGATAAACTGGATCACAATTTATGTTAAATGAAAGAAACAATGAGTCACTTAATGAGAAGCAAAAAGCATAATTCTCCAATCACTCTGGGCTGCCAAAATAATACAGATAGCATACACAAATGTGATAGCCAGGTTCTTTGCTACAGAAAACATAAAAAACATTCATAGAAACTACATGGAGAGAAGAAATATTTTGCTGTGCTACAAAGGAAGTTGTGATCATTGTTTTATCTTGAAATATAGGTACAATACAGCATCAAAATTCAATTGGCAATCCATGTCCCTTACAAACATTGGAAGATTTTATCACAAAGATGACTAGTTGGGCTAAGCTCTACGTGTAAGAATGATGCAGACAACAGCACCGCGTTCTGTGTTCACCATGCTCAGTTGAGAAACTAGATCTACAAGTGATAAAATGCTGAAAGTGCTTAGCAGTGGGAGGAATGCATAGCTTGCCTGTATTGTTATTCATTTCTGTGTTACTGTTTTATTTGGTGGAGAGAGGTAATAAAAACGGAGAGTAACAATTCAAGACATTGAGAAGCTTATAACCTGAGTCATTTCTGCATTGAAATTAAATTGTGTTGTCCGTAATGTTGCACTGAAGGCACAGATTTAGGAAGGTGGGAGGACGGGGGCTGTAGCTCTCCCTCCTCTGCTGCCAGCGCCGCTCCTGTCACATGATGCGACTGCACAGTCCTCCGCTCGCACTGCAGCTGCGCTCGCCCTGGCGTGTGCCAGTCAGATTTCGCCTCCTTCTGCATCACTTTTATTCTGGTTTAGCTCTGTTGGCTTTAAATGGAGTTGTTGATATAAACGGATGATGGGAATTCATTTGATCATCTGGACACGTTCCTTTGTTGGCTTATCTTTTATTCTGCATGGTGTGCTTTAGGCAAGGAAGGAAGAGTTCTGGTGTGAAAGTCTACTCTGAGGTGATGTTATTGCCTAAATAGCTAAAATTTAACTGTATTTTAAACAAAAAACCCAACACACACACCCCCCCAACCCCCCAAAGCATGATACAGCTATCAGAGTCTTACCACAGAAATCTGCGTGTTGATGTCTTTTTTCACAGAACTTTTCATAGAAATGTTCAGTTGGAGCAATCTTTGTAGAAGGAAAACCAGGACCACCTGTACATGCAAGTTTTATATTAATTTTCTTTGATATTCTTGTATAAGGACGTTCTGCAGGCTTGGCTTTTTAGTTGAGTTGCTCTCTTTAAGCACATAAGCTGTTCTGGATATGTAGTTTTTAAACAGGCTAGAAACAGAGGTTTGAAACAGGGTATGTGTTGCAGCAGAAGGAAGCAGTTTAAAGCAGTGGACCAAATTGTGTGTGGGAGCTGCATGGAGGGTCAAATAGAGGTCTGTTTCTATAAAGTATGTAAGTTAGTTGCCAACACAAATATTACCTAGCAGTTTACATGTGCTGAGAGAGCGCAGTACAGC